TTTCTGACTTTATAACCTCTGGCTCAGAATGATATCCTGCCACCTCCACCAAGGATGTTGCTCAGATTTATAGTATCTGAATGGAGTCTGCACTCTGTGGAGTTTGCAGTCAAAAGCCCTGCCAGATGAAAAACGAAAGATGGAAGAAACCATATACCCTGGATGCCTGGTTCTCCCCTGTCCCACTGTATATTTTCTCCAGGTATGATACTACTTTTTCACACTGTGGAAATCTACCCCAGCAGATTCACAGCCTTTTCTTTCTTCCCTAACCTGTCAAGCTATAGCCACAAAGATACTATGTGGTAAGTGTAGCAATTGTGGCCATCACATCTGCATTCTGATTTCCTTTAGGAGTCAATAATGAAAGAGGAATAAAAGGAAAAAAGAAAGAAACTAGTTAGCCAGCCCCTGTTAAATTCAGAAACTCTGCTTATTTCTCTGAACTGCCAAGATCCCTGAACTGCTTTTATGCTACCCATACTACTTCGTATGAATTGTCTATTACCATCTCCTCCACTGAACTCTAAGCACTCCAGAAACTGGAACTGTGCCTGGTACCTACTTAGCAGGTGCTCAGTGAAATGTTTGATAAGTGAATAACCAAATAACTAAACAGATGGAGAAGAAGAAATGTTTCCATAGCAGTGGAAAAGATGCAGTCATGGTTTCACTGCTAGGGGCCAGTATTTAACATGGATAATTGAAAACACAGCAGAGGATCAGAGGAGCAGAACTCAAAATCTCATGTGAAAACTCAACAGTTGCTCTTTTTCTTAAACACAGCCTGCTTCTTTTCAAGGCAGCTAAACATTTACCTATCTCCTTGTACTCCATTTCTACTTTTCTTCTTAGACCTCACACACAGCAGCAACCTGATTGTTTCAAAGTGCTCTGTTCTGCTTGCTTTGTCTATTTCCACTTTCCAGCTCAGCAGCAGCCTAGTTGTTAGGGACATCCTTAATATAACAGTAGGAACTCTTTCCAGCTCTACAGCATAGTTTAAGGGAGATTAGTTGAATGTACAGTCCTTCCTTACGCATTTTCTGATTTCCACAGTGTTTTGAAAGAACTGAGAGTTAAGACTGCTTATCCACAAGGCTTTTTCAGTAATGTTGTGTTTATCTTAGAATTCCGGCCTAAATGGTAATTGAATTGTGCATGTGGGAGAATGCAGCCAAGATGTTTCAGTAATCATATGGTACCAGGGACTGTGCTGCCTGCATATGACTCTGGGCAGAAGAATCTGGTGCCTTCTTTCTTAAGGACTGGGGTTCAAAGAGAAGTAAAAACAGGATGAAGAGCAGCTCACACCAGCTCACTTGACACCGTTTGAAATACAGGAGCACTGTTTCTTTTCAACATTCGTTACTATCAAGTATTCCCATCTGGTAGCTCTAAGAGAGCATAGGATGTGAAATGTGAACAGCCATTTGAATCTCTGTGGAGCCACTGCAAAGAATCACTAAGAAGATAAGTAGGGTCAGCAGTACTAAGACCCATCTATGTGAGTTGTTTTGGAGATTGCTAACATCCCAGTCCAGCGTTATTTATTCCACCTACTGACCGAGACCTTTATCCTTTTGGCTTAAGACAGTATTATTCAAAAAATTGTCCATGGACCACCTGCTTTAGAATCATCTGTGGGTGCTTATTTAAAAATACTTATCCCTGAGCCCCAGATCAATAAAGCAGAATCTCTGGGAGTGAGGCCTTGAACTTGTCCTGGGTAAACCACTCAGCTTATTCTTTTGAACCCTAAAGTTTAGATTGCTGCCTTGAGACCTTACTAAGTATTAAGTGTCAAAGAGCCCCAAGAAGCAATAGCATTGTGAGCAGGTGTTAGTCATTTTTATTGAAGGATCTAAGGTTAGGTTTTTTGTAGAGAGAATGATGGAAAAGAACTTGAGAACACAAATACTCATTGAGAAGGAATAGGTTACTACTAAAGAGAAGGAAGGAGTAGAGAGAAAAGAGCCGAAGAAAAACTTCTTTACTTCATAATTTTGCCCTAGGTTTTATGGTCATTTGTCATAGTTGAGTTCAATCCAGCAAACATATATTGAGCCCCTACCAGGTGCCAGATACCAGTAAGAAAACAAAATAGAAGGAAGCTCTTAAATGGAGAATTTAAATAAATGAAGTAAGGCCAAAAATTGAGATTCATACAAAAAACTTTGGGAGCTGAGAAGCAGGGACCCTGATGGCAACTTAGCTCCTAGAGAAGGAAGTGTCTGAGCAGGAAAATTAATAGAAGTTAGGCAGATTTTGAGGTTATGTGTGGGGGCAACTATTGGGGAGGAGCTAAAGAGGGAACAGAAATTGGTGGGAAATGGAGCATGTGCCCAACATTGGACAATCTGCCCAAGAAAAGGTCTGAACATAAAGCAGTATGCTATTTCGGGATTGGCAAGCAGTTCAGGGCTGCTTCATCATAAAGTACAAAGAATGAGGAAAAGGCAGTCTATGATCCTAAATAGGTAGATCAGAGCTAAGTCAGATATGTGCATATTTTTATAACTTTTACAACATCCTGTTGTGCCAGACATCTAGAAGTCTTCCTGGATCTGTCCTTCAAATTCATTCCAGGTTTGTGGACTCAAAATGTTAGTTGTGATTGCTCCAAAAACATATTACAACTGGCTTGTGGGCCCTCTATGGGACAGTGAAGTGGACCATAATATCAAAATTTTTTCAATGTAAATTTGAGCTTGTTTTGACTATTACTGGAAGAATACTTAAAAATAGTAACATTAATGACTTCTAGAGAGAGAGCACTGGGAACAGAGTGGAATGACTTTAATTCTCACTGTATGCCCTTTTCTACTGAATTTGAATTGTTTACCATGTATATTTATCACGTATTCAAAAAAATCATAAAAGAGAACTAAAGAGACATTTATTCCATAAGATAAAGAAATTATCAGCATATAAAAGAGTGATTTGCTAGGCACAGTGGCTCATGCCTGTAATCCGAATACTTTAGGAGGCCAAGGTAGGTGGACCATGAGGTTGAGAGATTGAGACCATCCTGGCCAACATGGTGAAACTCAGTCTCTACTAAAAATACAAAAATTAGCTGGGCATGGTGGTGCCCCTGTAGTCCCAGCTACTTGGCAGTTTGAGGCAGGAGAACCGTTTGAACTTGGGAGGCGGAGGTTGCAGTGAGCAGAGATTGTGGCGCTACACTCCAGCCTGGCAACAGAGCAAGACTGTCTCAAAAAAAAAAAAAAAAAAAAAGTGATTTAATTTATATTAATAACCAAGTTAACAACTTATTATACAATGGTACAATGGTGACAGCAATGATAACATTAAAATAATTTTGTCTTTCAAATCCTGAGAAAAACATGAGGTTGGAGAAATCTTCTGTATATCCTCTATAAATTTTGCCTCTTTTTTTTATTTTCCAGTTTGCAGCCCACCTTGTGAAAATGAAATATCCAAGAATCTGTATTCTAGATGGTGGTATTAATAAAATCAAGCCAACAGGCCTCCTCACCATCCCATCTCCTCAAATATGAAGAACCAACAGTGTGACTGCCAAAGGTCAACGTTGCATCAGCACCAACAGCACAGTTCTTCATATCCATGCCACTCTCAGACAAAACTAGATGTCCAGATTGTTGCATTTCCATAAAGTTTGTCACGATACATTTTTTAAAAATCTCATAACCTACATGTTCAGCTATCCAGGGAAGAAACTTGACTGTACATGTATTGCTGAAGAATTTTAACAGTGAAATCTGATCATGTATTTTTACCACGCTACCACATAAAACCCAAGGAATTCAGCTGACAAGACAGATTTAGCATTATCAATAAATCCCAGTTGCCCTGAAAAAGCTGTCCTCCATGGTACTGAACAGACAGTTCTACTGATTGTATTATTTAGAAACACTTTGAATGTGGGCTGAAATCATCATCTTTACCTGATAATGAAAATTGAGAAACTATTCACAATGCATTCCTGATAAATAAATGCTACATTTAGTAACTTATTTCACCCACAAAAGGGGTGTGTGTGTGTGTGTGTGTGTGTGTGTGTGTGTGTGTTTAGAGGAAGTAGAGTTTGACCCATTGCACAAAGTGGTAATATTTACTCCCAGAAAAATGAAATTTAGAAACCATTAATATTTGATAGAATATTTGGTCAGTTCCTATAGCAAACAAGAATGACTTCAAAAAATTTTTTTAGTTTATCACATGAAAGTCTGTATAGTCAGTCCAGGACTAGTATACTGGTTTCCTGATCATTAAGAACTCATTATCTTCTCTCATTGCCCAACCTCAATACATGACATCCATCTCATGGATGAAAATGGCTCCTGAGCTTCTAACATCACATCTGCTATCTAGAAGGAAGAGAATGAGGGAAGTAGAAAGGGGATAAAGAGAAAGGAAGGAATGAAATATGGAGGGAGGAAAGAAGAAAAGAAATGAAAAAAGGGAAGCATGCTCCTTCCCTTTAAGGTCACAAACCAGAAGTTGCACACATTACCTCTGCTTTCATTGGCCAGAACTTAGGCACCTGGCCACACCTAGCTTTAAGGAAAACTGGAAGTATAGTCTTTGACTGGTTGACCATTTCTCCAGCTAAAAAAAAATCTTATTACTGTATGGGAAGAAGAGAGTACATATGAGGTACAGCTAGCAACCTCTGCCTCTGCCACATTATTTGAAAAATTAAGTACTATACTTCATTCAATCTAAGACATCTCACAATTTTAGGTACCACAAAGAAAGAAAAAAATGCAGCCAAATGAATTATGACACGTTGTCAGTTAAAAAACACATTCCCTGGGAGGCCAAGGTCAGGAGTTTGAGACCAGCCTGGCCAACATGGGGAAACCATGTCTACTAAAAACACAAACATTAGCCAGACACAATGGCACATGTCTGTGGTCCCAGCTACTCAGGAGACTGAGTCAGGAAAATCACTTGAACCCAAGAGGCAGAGGTTGCAGTGAGCTGAGATCAGGTCACTTTAGTCCAGCCTGGATAACAGAGTGAGACTCTGTCTCAAAAAAAAAAAAAAAAAAAAATCCCATTTCAGAAATCTGAAAAAATATGCATCTTTTAATTATTGAACTATAGCACATCCTTTAACTATCTTCAATTTTGTTTTAACTAAAAAGTGTTATTCATCTATAATTTATATTCCACTTCAATGTTAAGACTACCTAGGCAGAGCCTCAATTCAACTTTCTGGGCCATGGTTTTGTTGTGGTTGCTATTGTTTTGTTTAGTTTTTTTTTTTTTTTCTTTTCATCTACTTTTTAAATTGAGATATACTTAGCATAAAATTCATCCTTTTAAAATGTAAAATTCAGTAGTTTTTAGTGTATTCACAAAGTTGTTCAATCACTATTATCCACAATACTTTCATTGTATGCAATTCTCTACCTGATTAGCAGATATTCCCCATTAACACCTTCCAAGGTCTTTGATAAATTTTTATATGTGGAGTAAGGGGTCCATCTTCATTCTTACATGTGAGTATCCAGTTGTCCCAGGGCCCATGCTGTTTTCTTTGTTTTATTCCATTTATTTGGCCATTCACCAATATGTTTTGAATACCTGCTATGTCCAAGACACTAATATAATCCAAAGTTCTATCATTTTGTGATCCTTACATAGTATACAAAGAAAAAAATGTGAGAATTAATGGGAACAAATATTTACCAGGATTTCTCTAACATTGTTTTTGGGTCATCATCTACCCTGTTTAGAGAAATATCATTAAATCCTCCTGTCCTAGCAATTACAATTATTTTCCTTCAATCTTTGATGACTTTGACCTCATAGTCAGAATGCAGCATTGATGATCATTCTGAGTCTTAACTTTGCCTTACTGAGAAAGCAGAGAAGAGAGGGATGGAGGGGCAGTGATTTGAGTTGAATAAGATGGTAGCTAGTAGGAGAGGATGAAGACCTTGTCAGGAGAACTGTGTAAGAAGATAATAGTCGCAACCCTCTGTCATGATTTTGCATTTGATCTTTCTTAAAACTTGACACATTTAGGCTTATTCCAGGAAATTGAAGTTTTTTAAACATGCAAATTATAATATTTAATATTGTCAACAGTAAAGTAAGAAAGCACACTATCACTGCTGCCATGTTTATACATAGAGCATGTTATTTCATGGTGGATGATACCAACAAAGTTGACCTCAACAACGATTTGTTAGATTATACATATATAACCCAGGATTTATTTGAGGTCCTTTTGCTACATTATTGACTCCTACACGATCATTATCGTCACTGTTTCTGGCTCTACCTGGAGTGCCATAACTACCACCACCAGCCCACACAGATACACATACACACACACTCACACACGTATACAAACTCACATACACAAACATACTTATTAATCCTTGATAATCTAGCAACAACAGTGTACCTCTTCCAGTCTTCTCTGGCTTCCCCATATTCCATTAGAGCCTCAAATCTACCAAAGCATTCCATTCATACTTATAATAGATTTATTGCATCATTTTACAATTATTTACATTTAGGCCCCTATTAAAATATGAGCTCCTTAAGGTCAGGAGATATAATTTATACCTTTTGCTACCTTCATCAACCTACTATGTTGGATATGTGTAATTAATACTAAATTGAATATCAATTTTAGAATTGATTTGAAGGGAGAAAAAAATAACCTGTGGTAATTTTTTTCAACTGCCAAACTTATCTGGTACCTGATGGTATATAAATAAATTGAAATCTCAATTTGTGAAGTATAGAAAGGATCTCTAAAGTTCCATCCAGCTCTAAAATTTAATAATTCTGGAAGAGTAAATAAACTTTCAAAATAAGCTAATTGGATCCTCTTTTTAAAATACAGAAATGTTAGATTCAAAAAGCATATTAAAAATAGCTAATGTGTACAGGTTAAAAAATAATGTTTAACCAAGTGTAAAAGAAAGAAATTTCTTTCATTGGAAATGAAAAGGACCTGAAAGGCACAGCTTTTAGGCCCGTAGGATATCCATTATCAATATAAGCCCTAGGAACTCGGGGTTTAACATGTATATAGGAATAGAAGACATAGCTTTGGACCTTCTGGGTGAGAGTTCTTATAAAGACGTCTTTATGAAGTGGCAGTCTCAAGGAACTCTGCTCCATGAAATGACAAGACATAACTTCCCACCAAATTAGGGAAGCTACAGAGGAGACTGTCATTGGCCTGGTTATTCTAGATGAAGGAAGAAAAATCTATTACGGACAGATGGAGTTGTTCAATGGAAAGTCTGGGGTAGGTTCCTGATGGAGAACAGGCTTTAGTGCACTTCAAAAGGAAAACAATGAATTGTTTAACACTTTTAGAGGACACAGTGGTACCAGATTTTTGTTTAACTCCTTTGCTTTCTTCCTCCAAATAGTCACCAAAAAATATTCCATTGGGAACAATATCAAAGGGATTCTATAGTATCTCCAAAGAATCTTATTCACTAGTTTCATTTAATAAAATCCACTACAAAGAAAGAAAACTGCTGCCTTTAATAGAAAGATAACGTTGGCACTGTTGTTGATAATCTAGCAACTCTTTCCATCAGTTGTAACTAGTAATCCCACTGTTATGCCTGCTGAGCCAATATACAGTTATTATTTACCAAATAATGCTTTTTTCAACATTGATTAAATCAGAGTGGAAGCAAAATGGTAATATTTATGATAAATTTTAGTTTGGACGTTCAATGTCAAGATCAAATATTCTTCATAGCTACAAACTTAAATTTTATGTGGAAAAGCAATGATGAAGAGTTTCAAACCTTAACTGACACTTAACAGGATATGTAATTGCTCACACACAACCTTTAGGTTTTGTAATCCAGTTTTATCTCATACAATATTAGAAACAGTACACTTTGTAAATAGCTATTTTAAAAGTTAGCCATATTTTTAAAGTCACATGTATTTATAACTTTTCTGAGTAATTTTCTTGTTAATGCCTTATTATAGGTGCTTGTAACATGAAAACTAAACTTGGATCTTGGTATATTCAGTATTCTATAGATAGATTGTGATATGCATAGCTTCTACTGTGACTTTCAGACCTAATGTCTCCTCTTAGGTTTTCTTTAATATCCTTTCTCATTCCTTTCAGGGGGCCTATTTTTAGTTTGCATTGTTTGCAGCATTTCAGTAATACTGTTCTATTCTAATAATATTGTTCTGCTCTAATAAACGTTTCTAAATACTGTGGTTCCAAAGCACTGTATTGCCAACATTTCTAGATATTAACTATTAACCCCCTGCACGGTGGGGGTTAAGACACTGCTCTGTCTTAGCCTAAGACCAATCTTGGAGATATAACAAATGCATGTAAAGCATTAGATCAGATTCTAAATACTGCTTCCTGACATGCTAAAAGATTCAATCTTTACTCTCATTACATGTGTATATGACTTTAAAAACAGTACATGCCCTCCCATTTTTTAAAAGACTGTTACAGCTTGAACACTAGCATTAAAATCTAAGATAATCCTTGCAAAAGAGACTTAATTTTCTAAAACCTGGACACCTATTCTTATTCTGTTATTAATTTTTTTTCAATTATATGAGCATATTTTCAGTCCTATAGGGTAGAATGATTTAGTATTCCAAGCCCTGTATTACACTGGAACTGGCTCCTATAGCTTGAAAGTGCTGAATGTTCTCATCTCTTCTCAACTCTGTGGTCAGTAATCTCAGGTTAGTGGCTTGTCATCAGCCACATCAGGAGTATTTACACCATAGAAATAGGCAAATATCCTAAATCAGGCTCTTTTAAAAATTTTTATTTTTGAGAGCCAGTCAGTAACATTTACTAGTGCATCATTGATTTAACCATTCTAGGGTCATTATATTTTCTGTACTATAAATTATGAAAGTAAAATGAATGTTAAAGATTATTCAATCCAAACGCCATTGTTCAAAACAGTAAGTAAAGTAAAAAAAAAATTTGCAAACATCACATAGCTAGTAAAAGGCGGATTCGGAATTACAATACTGCCTTTCTGATTCCTTGTCTATTTTTCTGCTCATCATATACAGATAGAAAAAGTAAAGGGCACCAATTTCAAATTCATTACATATTTATTGCAGGCCAAGTTTGGATCAGCCACTGTATTATATGATGTGGTGAGGTACAAAAATGAAGCACTGAAAATGTCAATTAAACTGACTGCTGACTCTATCACATGGAAATGCCACTTAATATCAGCCCTTAGAGGATGGCACTCTCACCTCCTTACCTTCTTCAATATTCAAAATTATATTTTTAAAAAGAATGCATTTGAGCATTCTGCTCTGAGGGAAGAATCACTATTTTCAGGAACTCTTGCTATGTATTAAGTTACCTCTTCACCTTCAAGACAACCTTCCTCAGAAAAACATCCCTGGTAGAGAAACATCCCTGTACTGCCTCTGTCTACAGTACAATCCTTGATATACAGGATCAAAGTTGGCTCTTAACCTTTGTTTTCTATGTCTTAGCCAGTGACCAGGCTTGAAAAATCAGAAAAGTCCTCCTTTCAGTTTCCCAGTGGTGTGTGGAAAGTGAAGGTGAGGGAATGGGGGATAGCTGGCTTCTGGATTTGTTAACCATGAAAGAGAAGAAATAGAGGTCATTTAAGTCATTTGCTAACTTTAAAATACAGTTTTGTGCTCTGAGATAAACTGATAATTATTTGCCAGATAGCACGTATTTTCTAAAATTATCTTTAAGATCATTAATAATTCCATATACCATGCATTCATAACCATAGACTCCATATAAAGCCATTAGGATTTGAAAGGCATGTGAGAAACAGAGCTACTGGACTGAGGCCAGATGGCACAGATGGTAGTTTGCAAAGTGATGTGCAACCAAGAAGGGAATCACATTATTGTTTAATAAGAATGATTTATATAAATGAAGATTTTTTTACATCTCTGGATGCATTATATTATCATTAATTACATGTGGCAGTATAAGATGACAGGATGAAATATTTGTCTAAATGTAATGCCTAGTGTGACCATTTTAACTCCCTACTCTGAACTTCTTTCCTATTTTCAAAGATCTCAGGATCTGCTCCTATCCCACACTGCCTTAGCATGACTATATTCTGGAGAGGCCTTCCTGAGATGCCTTCTATTGAAGACCTACCCTGAGCAACTGGCATAAACAGGTAGAATCCATTTCCAGGATTTATCCATTTACCTTTGTAGAAAAAAAAAATGCATATCACAAATACTGATTCAGAGGTAGGAGGTTATTTTGAATTGTTTCTCAAATTAGTCTGACAGAGATAATAGGTGTTAAAAAGTTTTTAACCCTACTTTGGTTTACTATAACTCACTGACTGCTATACTGTCCTCCTAAATAATGGTTTATCTATGTTTAGATTGTAACAATATTTCTTTTTCATATCAACTACTGTCAGGTAGTCATTTTGATTTCTGCCACAATTTGGTACCTTGAAAAAGGCATGAGAAGAGTGTTTCCCTGGTGGTGAAGAAACTTTAAAATATCCCCCCCGCTTTTTTTAATTAACTAACATGAATCCAAACAGATTTTAAGTCTAACAGCATCCCAGGTATAGAGAAGGACTAGACTAGTTCAAGTTTCAAAAGTAATATACCTACAGATATTATTTTTAAAAAACAAAAACAAATTGAAGCCTCTATCATGACTGATGCGTTACTAATATTTTACAAAACACACTGGACACGAAATGTGCTGATGAGGCATTTAAGCCTGTATCCCAAAATATGTTTACTTGTAAGTCACATATGTGTATGTATGTTTAAGTGAATGAAATAATAAAAAGGAGATGACTTTAACAGATTAAGTCTTAACACTCATTTAAGTGACATGTTATTTTAACATGAATCCTATGCAGCAATATAACAACTATTTAAAATTTCAGTGGTGACTTTATAACTTACATAAAGCAAGATGTTACATATTTGTAAAGAAACCATTCCACAAAATGGTAGCAGCTCAGGCAGAGACTGATGACATTAATTGTCCTATAAATCACTAACTCTATGGCATTCTGAAATGAATTTTAAATTGCCCTGTTTGATTAAGTGAAGTAATATCAAAATTAATATTAAAGTTAATTATTGTCAGCCAAATTCTGTTAACTCAAAAAGAATAAATTAATAAGTAAATTAATTGTTGCAATTACTTAACCCTTTTAATTAGCTTGTCCTGCCCAGGACATTAACTGAACCACTTTTAAAAAGCTGTTAGGCATTTATTACAAAACCTGATTGAAATTTTATGTGAGTATATTATTGGATGCACACTTTATTACTTACCAGCTAAAACTAAATGACGATTTTTAGGATCTGAACCAAATACTAAATTAAATATCTGGTACAAATTAGTTGTATAAAAATAAACAAATGAAAACAGTAAATTGTGAAAGGGGCCTAGTGACAACTTCGAAGGTTGACATCCCACACATATACTTCTACCAGATACTTCTTGGTCCATGTCATGATAATTTTATTGCTCCTTGAAAGCACATGAGCACTTCAGTTGTTTCAAGAGCAGGTGAAACCTCAGCTCCTCCACGACAGCTATCCCCTAAAATGGCGTGTGTATTTTTTGTTTACTCAGATCTTGGAAGGCTGGAATGAGGAAGAACTATGTGCTGAGGTTTCAGGTTAGCTGGCATTTGCTTAGTGTTCATGGTTAAACTTTCTCAAGGATCTTTCATTTCACAACACTAAGTTTCCTTAAGCCCCCAGAATTATGGTAAATCCTACTTCATGCAGCACTATTCAGGAAGCTCAAACCTCCACTGTGGTCAAAGTAATGACTCTTCAAAGAAGGGTTTCCAGATTTCCAGTGTCAGCATTTAACCTTCAGACATCTTTAGAGTAAGAAATATGTTCTAGGACCCCAACACTATCATGTTAAGAGTACATTCAAAAAGACTACCCTGACAAAAACAACATGTTTCAGGAAGAAGAGGGGGAAGCGAGGGTTCAAGTTTTCCTCTCCCTTAAACCTCAAATTACAGGGAGCCTGCAGGAAGAAAAGGAGATCAATTATCAGAGAACTTGGATTCCCTACTACTGGCTTCTGCACTGTTTTTTTCAGTGTGTGTCTGGGTTCACATGGGTTCCCTAAGGCTCTGGTTCCTCACATTTAAAAGAGATAATAGCATTTATCCAGCCTGTCTCCTAGGTTTATGGTGAAGCTCATAGAACAATATTTTGTAAATGGAAAAGTATTATTCAAATATGTGTATAATTTTTATAAAAGTCAATTGTTCTGTAAAACTATCAAGCCAAACTCTTGATCTATTGTATAGTTTTTAGAGAAGAAATATTGACACAACAAATAATTACTCTTACAATCCATAAGCCTTTCCTATTATGCAACATAAACAAAATGGAAGACTTCACAAGCAGTATTGGGTATACACTGCACACTTGATACTGTTTAATTTCATTTAAAGCACTTATTTCTGCTAAGTTTATAAATTTTATGCAAGATTCTTTCAGACTTCTCTTTGTTTTATATATCACCGTTTCTAAGCCCAGCTTTACCAACTAAAACACACTTTTTACAATAATCTAAATTCTCTCAATACAATCTGGCAGGTTCAGTTTTGCCAATAACTATCTACACCTAGATGGCAGAGATTAACTTTGTTTCAAATCCACCCTTCCCTTCAGTTTTATCTCCCTCTTCCCTTGCAGCTCTCTCCTGGACTTCAAAGCAGCTTTGTGGTTTGCCTTACAGAAAATCAATGGTTGGGAGATGAAAAGCAGCTCTTGTTTATCTCTGCTTGCTGAAGGTCATTCTACTCAGTAGCATTTGTGTGAGATCCACAACTATTTTTCCTCACAGAGGGGAGAAGTAAATTGATTACATACACAGAAATCATTATAAAGAGAGAGTGGGCTTCATTTTAAAGTGGTAGGATCATATCAAAACACAAATATAATAAGAATCAGTATAGTAGCAAAGTACTGGTGTTCAGAGTATAAGTTTAAAGTATTATTTAATGTGACCCTGATTTTATAAAGCTGTTATATGTCTGGACCTGTTTCAGGGTACAAAACTACATAGTTTATCACATATTCAAACAGGCACCCAAGAAGTTATTTGAGCTTAGTAGGCCTTAAAGACTATGACTAATAAGCCATTAATAAATGAGTGCTATGGGTATTGAATTCTACATAGGTAAGTTTTCTCACAGCAGATATGGCCAGAATTA